TTGTTGTCGTCGTCGTCCGTCTTCCTGGCTCCCTCCCTCTTCCCGTGGTAGCGGCGCCCTGGGGAATCCTGTACCTGACGTAGTGCTTCAGAAACAGGTCGACTGCCCCTCCTTGCAACATCCATCCCGCGTGCTGTGGCTGGGCCACGCAACCGGTGACAACCGATGCGAGGAAAGCAAGTACCTCACCTTAACCGCAGTCACTAAAAGCGACATCCCGTCGCGACTAGGGCAGAAACCGTCCGTAGTGCACCTAGCTCTCAGCTCATCACCGCAGGCTATGCCGAACAAAAAGCACACCTCAGGCTCGAAGCAGACGAAGGGCGACAGGCCGCCTGCTTAAACGCTGTTCCCAATCGTGTTTCGGATGCTCGTCTTAGATGCCAGAGAGCTGCCAAATACCCCCATCGTCCCCTTGCCTGACATGACCTTACCTTGACTTTCGCTACCCCCCGCCAAGCAAACACAGGGTACTTCATGTTTGCACACGGTACCATCCGGTTTGAACGGTGCGGTACCCTGACGATTGCCCTTGCCGTGCTCCCAGCCCAAGAGGTCTTGGTAGGCCCCTCAGTTCGGGCCGTCCACCAAGATCTAGAACCTCTGAGCGAGCGAAGCAAGCACCGGTCTCTCTCTTTACATAATCTTTCGTGGCGAATTCAATCTTCAGGACCAGAATTTTCCATCAGTATGGCAATGTCACATGGCCTCTTTTCTAATCAGTACTAATCAACAAATCATCAATCATCCTAGGCAAAAAAGGCATTTCTCATACGGCTGTCAACATTAGAAAGCAAGACCCTACACAGACAGACTCGTTCAGCACCGCTGCTGGCTACTGCCCTGGCCGGCCCTGCTTTCTTGGCCAAAGGGATCAAGGCATGTACCGACAGTGAACCCAAACCAGAAACAGCGCATTGTTCCTCGTCCCATCAACGCCCTCCCTCCATCCTCCCGAACCTCATGCGCCGCCGGTGTGCGCCTTTCCATCAGCAAGCAAAACCCCCCATAATTCTCCCGTCCGTCCCAGCATGAGCCCTTGAGCCAGAAGAAAGCAAGAGAGCTCGTGGTCCTCAGGAACAGAAAGGGACGCCCAAGGCATTCGAGCACATCCAACCCGCAAATCGCCCTTAGCATGATAGTCGCCCGGCACGTTCAGCCCGTTCCCCCTCCCCTCCGGGCCCCCCAGGCTCCATCCATCCATCATCGGGGCCATCCATCGTGCGTGCCATAAATAACATAACCTTGGTGACAAAAATGAGTGCTTCTCGCAAAAGTCCCTCTCCTTCCTAAACCAAGCAAGACGTAGAGAAAAGCGAACCATTTCCTGCCTCCAACTTCATCCAATGAGAACCGCGGTCACGGCAGCGGCTTCACATACAACTAGCAGCACGTGCCGCAGACATACTTGACGCTGCGTCCAATCCTTGGTATGAAAAGGGCACCATCTTTCTTGCCCCGGCCAGGTGTTAGTTAGCCTACCGCTGAGCATTTCCAATACGAAATTCTCGCCCCAGGTAGTCAGTTCCAGGCCGTACAAAATCCAGTAGCCCTGAGAATTGAGGCCCCCTAAGGTAGTGTAGAGAACAGGTCGCAAACACATCCCCCGGGCCGTGTGTGTCAGCTGGCAGATGGGGACTCCCGCGACATGTCAGCGCCTCTCGTCCGGCAACCCTGCGCCCGGATCGGGCGACGTCGTGGGCCACGCGCGGAAAGGCGGCACCGCTAGGCTCGTCCGTCCTGTCTCGTGGCGTCCCGACCCTGCGGATACTACGTGATTAATCGTTTGGTGTTCCATGACGCTTCTTGACCCCTGTTCATGGTGTTTACTGCACATATTCGAACGCTGTCCCCCGTGTATAGGGTTACAGTCCGTTCGATCCGCGTTTGGAGTCGAGATCTGCTTACAATGAACGAGCATAACCGACCGACTCCGGGGTTGACGGTTCACATCTGGATCGATCTCGAGCCATCAACGCCAGATGACTGACCACCCGGATGACGCAGCCGTAGATCATACAACGTTTGTAACTGGAACTTGGATTCACTGAACTGAAAACCTATCGACTCTGTGTGTTTGCAGAGCTCTGACCTATCCCTGAACGCCTTGTTGAGCTTCCCTTGCCCTACCGGATCCTGTATGGTACAATCGAATTGCAGTCCTGTCGGCGGCCCAGCCCTCACGGGGCCGAGGCCGGGGCCGCAGGTCGAGGCTTCGAGGGGTACACCCCGGCATCCTAATACGGGGAGTATCCGCCTCTTCCTCGGCCACGGTAACCACCCCGATAGCCACCACCTCGGGGAGGAAATCCACCACCACGGCCGCCGAAGCCGCCGCGACCTCCGCGGAATCCACCGCGGCCGCGGCCTCTGGACATACCAGGGACGTTAGTCCGCTTGGGAACGACCTTGATGTTGCGACCCTTGAAGATGCTCTCGTTCAGAACGAGAGCCTGGGCGACAAGGCTGGGCTCGGTAAACTCGACGTAGGCGTACCTATGCGAGAGCATGTTAGCACATTGCTGCTTCCAACCGCGGCTGGCCCTGCAGGGCGTCAAGAGATGCAAAACACGTACCCCTTGGGTTGTCCGGTGAACTTGTCCAGCAGGATGGTAACGCGGTTGATGGAGCCGCAGCTCTGGAAGTGCGCCTGAATCTCCTCGGGGGAGGCGGAGTAGTCAACGTTGCCGACGAAAATGCTGCGGCTGTCGACGTCTTGCTTGTCGTCGGTGTTGAGGTCTTGGGCCTGCTGGTTCAGGCTGGCTTGCATCTCGCGCAGCTTGGCCGCCTCCTCTTCCATCTCGGCGACACGTCGCTTCATCGCCGAGATTTCCTCCTCCTACGTTCATCATCTTGGTCAGTCTAACCTCCTCTTACTACGCGAAGCCTAAGGGCCGTAGAAGGCTTATTGTCTTTGCGCACCTCATCGTGGTTGTTCTCATCGTCGGCGACGCTGTTGTTCTCGGCGCTGTGATCATCCACAGGCTTGTCCTCGGGCTTGACGTCCGCCATGGCTGCGGTCTCTGGTGATTTGAAAACGATGCAAAAGCGTCTGGAAGAGGAATGTCAGTGATGATGTTTGGGGAAGCTTCAGAGATGGCTGAATCGTGCGCCAAGGCAGAGACGCGCCAGTAAGGCGACCGGCAGCCTTGGGAGGGGTTTCCTAGTAGGACTAGCTCCTGCTACGATTATGCGGCGGCCATGGGAGGGAAGGGACTCACGACTCTGGCAACTGCAGGAGCAAACTCTTGCCCTGCGTTGGATGGATGAGCAGCTGCTTGCGCAAGGTAGGGAACGGATTGAAGCCGATGGCGAGGCGGACGAGATGAGGCAGACGTCCGTCGAAAGGTATCCAAGGTTCGAGTCCAAAAATGGCCAGGGAGATTGGTCCACGGTTTAGCCGGTGGCGCCCCGATAAGACCGATAAGAGCTTCCTGATCTCGATCTTGCACAAATGTGGGTTTGGAGCTGTCTGAGCTTGGGAAGCTGGAATGGAAGGGGGGACGTTGAAGATATATTGGGTTCAAGCAGAAGATATCTCCAAGTTGAATATGTGGTTTCTAGATGACGTTCAACTGGCAGCACCATTATGCGTACAGGTCGGTTCTGGTTGCCAGCTCCTTGCTCAAGCACCTTGTCCAGCGGGGTCGTGGAGCTCACAGGGCAAGATACAGCTACAGCTGCAGTGGTGTGCACCTGCTGTTGCTGTGCCCGTACTTTGAGCTCCATTGCCCAACTGAAGTCGACCACCTTCAGGACCTTTCACTCTTCTACCTAGATTGCTTCAGAAACATGGCAACAAACCCCAGGATATGCTCTCAGAAAGGCCTTCACCCTGGCGGTATGGGAGCATTTTGCTTGGTAAGACGGTCGCGCCCCTTGCTAGGCAGATGCCACAAAAGTTCCTGTCTCCCTTGGACCAGGTTCATATTTAGAGCTCTGCTCTTTGTTGTCTTCGAAGCTGACGGAGCTCTTTGCCATGATTTGTGTATAAGGCAGCTTCATTTGAGCAAATCAGGCACGGAGGCCCCCTTTCAATGTTCTGGTTTGACGACAAATCAGTGGCCTTTGGGCCTTGGTCTTTCTCATCCCCGTTGCATTGCCATCCACGTCTCGCTCTCCGACATCCACGCTTTCTGGCTCGGTGGTAACGACCTGGGGCTGACCTTCGCTGAATTTCTCTCTCCCGTACTATAGAGAATTGAATGTATATCAAATTGGCTCGGCATTTTCAATATCAACCTTCTAGGATTCAATGCCCAAACTTACGTCATGCTCCAACCCTGACCACGTTACATTGCAAATTCCCACAGGTGCTGTCATAGCGGGGGAGCGCATGTGTGCGATCGACCAAAGAGCGCCGAGCCATTGCCTGGCCTCTGGGCACTCACAATAAGATCGCATCTCGCATCGCCCCCCAACCTTTTGATCCCCCCAGTCGCCCCGGGTCGCCCGTCCTCCGCTACGGGGGAGCCCCGAGAGCGCTCCACAGCCCCGGCGGTTCGGAAGGACGAAGCGAGACGACAAACGGCAACTGCGACGACGAATTACAGACAAAACATCGGAGCTCATCGGCACGACGATAACCGAAGCCACCCCATCCATCCCCCGGAGCCTCGTCCTCGTGGCCGGATAGCCGGTCTGAAGTTCGCAAACTTACCTGCCAAGGAGGTTGGTGCTGCACTTAGTCAGCCCTTCAGGACCCCGTGGTTCGCCTGGCCGGTCGTCGTCGCCCACGTGTGACGTCGCCGAAGACACACTGCGTCAGCAACGGTATCGGCGGCCCCGGCCCAGCACCACCACATTTGGGCTTCCTTCTCAGCCTTCTCATTTTCTTGCGCCGCACGCGTGAGCTTCCTACTCTTCAGGGTCTCCGTCCAGATAAGGCTGCGACCGCGTCGCCGAGAGAAACACACGAAACATATCACTCCGGAAATCAAATCTCGATATTTTCTCGCCGTTCCGAATGGTCGGAGAAGGCGACGCCTGAAACTGCAGCGATGGCGACCGACGAGGAGGAGGCAATCCGGCCTCTGCTCTGGAGCTTCAGCGGGTTTCGCGAGACCAACCGGCCGGCTCCCCTCAGGCAGCATCTCACCGAGTCCCGCACCAGCCTCAAGGACATCCTCTCGTCTCGCACAAAGCACTACGCCGTGCTCGCGCTGGTGTCGCTGGACGTGGCAGCGCTGTTGGCCAACATCTTCATCGAGCTCGTCGCCTGCGATATGAAGCGCGAGGACGAGCCCTGGGTCAGAGACACGCGCGAAGGGTTGACGATCGCTGGGCTTGTGTTCAGCTGCATGTTCATGATTGAGCTGATACTCTGTGTGTTCGCCTTTGGTCTCCGGTAAGTTTCCCCCAGGCGCTTGACGTTGCGGCATAACTGACGGCCACCCAAGATATTTCAAGGATTGGTTTCATCTGCTCGACGGGGTCGTCATCATAGCAAGCTTTGTGATTGACGTGTTGTCGCACGGCATCGTTGAGGAGATTGCTTCGCTTGTCATTGTCTTTCGATTGTTCAGGTTCGTCAAGATCGTCGAGGAGATGAGCATGGGCGCGGCGGAGAGGATGGAGGGCTTGGAAGCGCAGCTGGAGGTCTTGAAGAGGGAGAATGGGGAGATGAAGAGGCAGCTGAGCCGGCGATAGGCCCGAGATGTAGCTGGCTCCGGTTCCGGTGGCGGCGCGTTTACCGGCATTCAAGATGAAGATCCCCGGCTGTGGTTAATGTGTCTAATGATAATGAACGATGCAGCAGGAGAGGGGCCTCCAGGCCAATTTGAGCGTTGTGGCTTGGTTTAGTCATGAATGATACCCGACGAATCGGATGTGCCTGTCTTGCCTTCGGACCTAAATTCACAACCTAAAGCAGCGAGCCGTGATACCTTCGGGGATGCCACTTGATAGCTTGTCTCCACGTCGATCCCTCTGGTCGCGCATCCAGACCCGTAGAAGGACAGGCCATGGGTGTTTAAGATGTCTGCAGGTATCCGTATTTCTAAGGAGAGCCGCAAATGGAGACGGCCTGCCATCTTGAACCACCGCAGCCTTCGAACGAATCGTTGGCGTAGACAGTGAATCGCCGGTCTCGATCCGACTGCATCACTCAGATTCCCGGTCTCGGCGGGCCCTCGGTGGCAGTTGCAGCGGGGAGTGGCGCATCGCAGGAGGCTGCCTCCGCGATGCAACGCCAGCCGCCCCGGCAGCTACTACACCTCGTATTTGCGGCCTCGGAAAAAAGCAGGCGTGGTGACTGGGCAGACTGAGTGGTTGGTTTGTGAGACAACATCCCCAACGTCACCTCCTCATGAGGTATTCCACGCAGAAAACGAAGACTTGCATGAAGCGGGTACCCTGGATATGCGGAGGAGCAAGAATAGCAGCGGCTAGGGCAAGTGCGCCACCTAGACCGTCAGCAACGGGGCGGCAGAGAGGGACCAACACGACAGACGAACATGCAGCGTGTGTTGGGCTTGCCGTCGTCGCTGAAATCTAGCCTGCCTTCACGAATGACTGGGTCTAGAGTCTAGAACCTAGGAGATGGCGACTGCGGTTCAGACGGCTTCGTCGCATACTTCAAGACTTGCGTGTAGCCATAAGTGCCACAGCCCGGATCGGAATCTTGTCATTGAAGAAAATGTCTAGAACTCTTGGAGGAGAGAAATTCCACGACGCCAAACTACCCGCCTTAGCAGTCGATCGAACAACCAATACCCATGATATGGAAGAATGCGAGTGGCGAATCAGCAGGGCCAGAATAACCGGGGCGCAGCGAGCCTTGGGGACAACACGAGAAACACGACGCTGGACACGACACGAGTCACAACACCATCCAGCAAGCTGCCCGAGGCCCAAGGACGACACATTTTGCGGCCGGACCGGACCAGTCAAAAAGCAACGCGCTGTGTTATTTCATATTTGCCCGAAAAAGGCACACGAGCTGATGAAGCAATATTGGGATCAGACAGATACGCTCTCTCCCCAATAGGCCATAATCCCAATTATTGCCATCCCCGACAGCCGTGCGCGACCTTCTTCGACAGGGTCAAAGCTACAGGTAAAACACCAGACGACAGGCGACGGCCGCGTCGTCTGAGATCAGATGTGCATGCATGCATCCATCGCATTTTGCCATGCAGGAGGAATACCTGATGGACGTTGACGGTTGACGTTGAACGATTTGTGTTGCTCCACGAGCTCTGCCTCTGTAGAGAGATATTTACACTCGCATTGCATCCGTCTCTCCACGGCAGCACAACACGACTCTTCTCCAACCAATACGGACATGCCGCCACGGACGGCACTTGCATCTCGGTGTAACCCCATCCTTCGAAGGTCGTCTTCGAAAGCCGCACGCCCCCCCTGGTCCAATTATTTGCTGTCCCCCTTCTCTCTTGGCCCGCGGGAAAGAAAAGGAAAAAAGGGCCAACCAGGGGCTTCTGGCCCAGCTCCCGACCAATCATCAGTCTGCCATATCGGGGCTGGCCCCCTAAGATTAGACTTCATCTCGACGTCCGGGCCCCATGTTCGCATGGTCCGTTTTTCGAACCTCGTTTTCCGTCGGCCGTTCTGCTGTGCTTGGTGCTCGTTCTCTCCGTTTCTGTCATATCGAACCATCACCACTTCTGGTTCTGCACAGTTGCATCGAACCAGAGTAAGCCCTCATAACAAAGCTGGTCGAGGGGGGTGACGAGGCAGGGAGACAGACGGCAGGCTTTGGGGAAGGGGACCAGAAGGCCTAGTCTCAGCCCCGAGTCGTCGGTTCCTTTGCCAACAATTTCTAGGCATTCCCCCGTTTTCCTATCAAAGAAACCCCAAGAACCCGATTCGATTCTCCAGAAACACCCGTCTTTGGGGCTAGAAAGCTGAGAAACACAAAGGATGCGCGCGGTGCGCGCAACGGCGTCCGTCCCTTCCCGCAGAGCTCAAGCAAGGATGGGCAGATGCGGTGGTGGTATCCGTAGCAGCAGCCAGCTGCTCTTTCCACAATCAAAAGTGGGAAGATCTGGGCTGGGGTTAGGCATGTTATGGTATGGATTGCGGCATGGCAACTCCAGGTTGGTAGGTCACCAGCATCTTTTGATGATTTGACCCTTCCTTCTTTCTGCACATGTCTCCAGACCGCGGCCTCCTTCTCCTAGAGTAGATGCTCGGTCTGGATTTGATTCAGTGGCCCCGTCTCGCTTCTCTTCCTCCTCAATGCTCCTGTAACCGTCTGACCGGGGCTTGACGCCATCACCATGTCCGTTCCCCCCAAATCCACTCTCCTTTTCCTGACGAGCTGCAGAGGACGGACGGGGTACCACACCACCTGCACTGCACACTCACAGTCGCCGCTGCTGCTGCTACCCTCTCTTCCCATCCATGGGTCGTTCGTTAGCCTCATCAATCTCCATCACTCGACCGTCAACCCAGGCCCAAGACGACCCCTGGAGAGACCCGCTCATATCCCGTAAACCCATCACTCTCCTCCACTCGCGTTGGTTCCTCGGCCGGAGAAAAAAGCCCTCTTGTCCTTCTGCCTGCCTCTCTCTCCGTTTCTCGCGGCCTCTCTCTCTCTTTCTTGGCCTGTCTGTCTGGCCCATCAGGCCTTTGGTTGTCCATTCGCTAGCGGCGCGCGCCACCGTTTCCCCCCCTCGGCCTAGTCAGTGTAGTCCTCCACCCCCCTTCCCCTCGCTGGTTTCTGCGCGATCCTCGTTCTAGCTCCTTAGCCCCCGTCTTGCCCACCCCCAGTAGATGCAGCGAGTGAGAGTGAAGAGTGAGCGACTGGGAACGCGACCGCCCACGCCCCCCAGGAAGATCAATACGGATACAATGTTTTTTTTGTGATGAAATTGCCTTGCCTGGGACTCCCCTAATTTACTTAATATTCCTCTTGCCCATCCCACCACCCATCTGTTGAGTTCTCTTTTCCTTCTCCCATCCCTCTACCGTAATAGCCTCCACGAACCCACAGCTTATTCCCCGTCCTCCCCGACCCAAACAACCTAATAAGCTACGATCCCTCTCTGAGGTTCATCAAGTCACTCGCTATCTACACGCACGCAAGTTTTCGGACTACGCACCACATTCGTTGGATATAACAATTGTCGTTACGACCACAAAAACAAAGTTTACTCTTAATAATCGGATTCCTCGGAACACCACACTCCACCACAACAACCGTCAAGATGCAGTTCTTCCTCCCCATCACCCTCCTCATCGCCGCCGTCGCGGCCCAGGACACCAAGTGCGCCGCCGAGCCCATCGTCGAGACCTGCCTGTCCTCCGAGAACGCCAAGGTAAGCTTTGAACATCCATTGAGCGTGGAGACGCGGCTCTGCTCTTTTGTATCACAACAAACAACTAACACATTCCCCTTCTAGGTCGAGGCTTGCTCCGCCACCGACTACGACTGCCAGTGCGCCGCCTACCAGGCCGTCGCGACCTGCTACAACAACTGCCCCAACGACGCCCGCGCCTCGCCCGCCCAGAACCAGGTCACCATCTACTGCCAGCAGGCCTCCCTCTACGGCTCCGCCGCCCAGCGCAAGACCGCCTCCGCCGCCTCCTCCGGCTCCGCCACCGCCGCCGTCGCCTCCAACTCCGCGACCGCCACCCCTACCACCGGCAGCTCCGCCTCCGCAACCGCCTCCGTCTCGGCCACCAGCACCCCTAACCTGGGTGTCGGCCAGCTCGCCCGCAACACCGGCGGCGTCCTCCTCGCCGTCGCCGGTGTCGTTGCCGCCGTCCTCTAAGCGATTTCTAAGCTAGAGAGGAAAGCCAATATATCATTACAATTTACACAAACGTCTTATTTTCAAGCGATAATGTTACACGCGGTGCAAGGCCATCATTTGGAATGATTCACATGGGGACTGGGACGGGGACTATGTTTTCCTCCCGGCAAACAAAAGGAGGCTGCTTCAGCATTGCCACTTCTTAGGATAAAAAGAAGCAGGGAAGATAGCGACGACGGCACGGGGTGATGATTTCACCAAAAACCTGTTGTACATGGTTTAGAATCTTTGTAATTACCTAATCCAGCCGAATTTCATGAACAAGAAGAACATGGGATGACAATGAACCAAAAAGACAAAGAACACACACGTGAAGAGAGGACAGGGACACCCGAGTTTGCCCATCAAACGGGAAAGAAACACCAATCATTCATCGCATCAAAACTCTATCTAGCAATGGCCCTTGCGTCCCCCCCGTGTCGTCCTTGCAGAGAGACAGAATAAACGAACCCGACTCCCGGACTCCGAAAAAGCTTCGTTGATTGATTCGGGTGCCCTTGCACACATGCAATGGCCTGCATCTTCCCGAAGACTGCCACCGTCGCTGATTGGGCCACCCACACACACCACGTACTATGCACCGCCGTAGGGTAATAAAGACACAGTAGTATCCGTAGAGAGAAACAAATATTGGAGATGTGTTGACTCAGCAACATTCTTCTGAAACATGGCAAGAATCTAACCTGCACATTGACTTGCGTGCCGGTTTGCGCGCCCATTCCCCACCCGCAGCAGCAAGGAACCATCCTGCATGTGCTTATTGTCTCATAAGCAAGGCCTCTCTCTGATATACCTATGCTACAGCGCGGGTTCGCGGACGTGAGGGCGCCGAAAAAAAAGGTGAGGGCGACGACTCGTCTATGTTATAAG